CATCTCGAGACAGTTGGTAAACGGACTCGTCAGATTTCGTAATCCCTCGGGAACATCTCCGTTACCCAATCTCGGATCCCGTGTTAACCGGGTACTTCCTTTGGACTGTCCTTAAAAGAAGGGATAAGTCACGTCCCCGGCGCCATTAGGCTTCCGACCCAGAAGAAGAATCGGCATTCCCGTTCGTCGACCACGGGTATTCTTATCGGGTCGTTCATCATTTTTTCCCAAGGACAGAGAGGAAGAGGTCTAACGCGAGTCATTAGAAGGCACGCGCCCGCGAGAATCGAGGGTATCGCGGCGCGAGTTGCAGTCTCCGGCTGCTCGCAAGAGGGTGCCTACTAGTAACTGTTGGCCGCCGACAAAAATAGCACCCCGATGCCGTTGTACCTACGGATGCAACGAGCATTACCATCGACAGCGCGAGGGAAGAAGGGAGACGTCGGGATTTAGACGTGACGGCCGCCCTTCGGCACGCAAAAGGGACGTTGTTCCAAGTTCGAACGAGGGATCATCGCGCCGCGTAGAGGAAGCTCTATTTCCGGTCCGCATCCGTAGCCCTGGAGACCCTGTGATCGTTGCTCGATATCACGCGAGCGTGTTATAAAACGCGTGAAAGAATTCGCCTCTGTCCGTTCAGCAGACCAGTCCTGGCAAACTCGTAGCCAGCGGATCCCAGTTTCCTGGCATTTTCAACGAACCACGAGACGAGTATCTGGAACGAATCGCGGACTGACTGGTCAGCTGATCGGGACCGCATTTTCTCGAGGATCATTCGTTCTGAGAATAGTCGAGATCGGTCGAGTCATGCTTTGAATGAAAACAAACGGTCGACTGATCGATCGTACGCGCGTCTTTGATGTTTAACGATCAGAATGGCGCATACGGGGAAGGGTAAGAGATTTCGCGCTGCTACGAAAAGATCGGGTGGAAAGAGGACCAGTTCTTTCGCCTCGAAGGACAAGCAATTTTAGCCAACCCGATGAGAGAGGAACGTCTCCTTCGTAGGCACGCGGAGAACGCGGCGAGCGTGGAATCCCGAAAAAAGGACTCTCAAACGTATCCCCTTTTTTCGTGCAAACCGCCGATCGAACGGACGGAAGCTCGCCAGTCATGCACCTTAAACTTCCCGGCGAAAAGAGACTAGTCGGCGATGAGACTATCGGACAAAAGCTTACCGGTGTGTTTCAGCCTCGAAATAGCAGCGTCGGGACGTCGACTCTCGGCTATCTCGCGTTCCACGGAGCAACGACACTTTTCTTTCTTCCTGCTCTTCTTTGTCTACCTCTCCTTCAGGCTTTGCACTCGATCCTCGCCACACGATCCTCGCGCGAAGAATCTTTGGTAATTGTTAAGAAAAGGGAAAAATGTTCTCGTCGCGAGAACGGTCGAAGGTTACGCGAGCGCCGTGTTCCGAAGAATTGAAATAAATATTATAAATAAACTAGAGGATAGGCAGACGTGGTCGAACGTCAATTCGAGCACCGATTTGAACGCTGTTCCGCCCCCGACCCTCCATTCAGAGGAACACCGAACCAGTCGACGCGTTTTCAACGACTGCACCACGTTGCCCTCGTTCTCCCCGAGCCACGGCAAAGCTCTCGTTTGTCCAGAAGCTTTTTTCTTCTTCGTTGCTTTCCCCACCAGCCACTCCGGGGCTTTCCCCTACTATTTCCTCGGCTCGGGGTGGAAGTCGAAGAGGGAATCTCGATGGAGCTCTTCGTGACTTTTCTCTACGCCAGCCATCCATCGGATCTTTAATTCATTTCCGGAAATACCTTGCTTCTTTGAACGTTTACCTGATATAAACAACGAGTAAATAAACTTGAGGTAGATTTTACAAAACCTTTTTCTTTTTTAATTATCTTCGAGAGTTTTCTCGTACTTGATTTGGGAAATTCCGAGATTTCGCTGCTCGGAAAATGGAAATTGAATGGAACTGGAATTGACGAAGATCGTGATATATGCTTGGTCTGACCATGGTGGAAGAATTCACTTGGACGCTTCGGGAGACGCAGACCGTGTGTCTGAGGAAAATACGAAGAATTAATTTATGAATTTAATCGGTTTGGTATCAGTGACACAGGGAATGAAACTATTCCTGTATATATTGGACGCTTAGACCTCCAGCCTGGCTGACGAATGCCATCAGCTATTTTTTCCGACTTCTTTGTCTTTGTCTCCTCGTGGGTTGCATATCCGCCGGAACTAGCGGTGTGCTTTTTTCAGTTTCGTCCGTCGTTAAGCCTCGGATTAGCATTCTATCCTCTTCAAAGGGAAATCGTTTCCCTTTCAAACGAAAGAGGAAACTTCAACCCTCTCGCTGTTCGATTATTTCAATTCATTTTCGTTTCGTTGTTACGCTAGTAGCTTAACGGATATTAAAATCTTTGGTATCGAGCAAAGTGACAGGGCTATGAGAGTAATATAGAATCATTCGTTTATTCGTTTTACTGACGCTGGAAGAACGACGTCGTCGATAGCGGAAGGATCGTGGTTTCCGATACGATTCACTGAAGTTACAGCCTTAGGATCATTAATCCTGATATAAACGAATGGCATACTAGCTTTGAAGACACCTTAGCAAATGTGCATGTCAATGAAGTTCTGCTTGTTCTTGTATACCGGTCCCCAGGAGCCGTACTTGTCGTTTTTGTTCGGCGCCTGTTGCTGGGTCTGCTGCTGGGACTGTTGCTGGTGTCCAAACGATGTAGGTCCATTTTTATTCTTTCTGCGTGTACAAAGTGGAAAAGAGTATTATCTACTTTCAGCTAAATAATATGAAACCGGTGAAAAAGTGAGGGAAATGCAAAATAAATTCCAAACGTACCTGGTGTCCTCGTAGGGCCCTTTGATGGTAGTGTCACAGATGGTGGTGTTCACCATTTTGATTTCTTTTCCCTCCTCGAAGATTATACTCTTTCCTTGTACTTCTTCCTATCGGCTTAAACCAATCGGAATCGATATGCTGGCTAATTTTCCAGAAGCAGCGCCCTCGAATTTAGTCTCTGACACTGTCAGACACTGTACTTAATGTCGATATAGGGTGTCCCTCCTTTCTCTGCTACCTTCGAAAGTAATGATTATATCATAAATACTAGATTTACCTCGAGGTTTCTCGTTTCCACGAATTTTTAGGCACAGAAGATACTCACTCTATGGTACGTGATGCAAATGAACCAGAACTAGCAATTCTAGGCGATTTCCAGCATTACCGCGACGACTCCCCTTGCGAGTTCGGAGATTTTTAGCGAGCCTACAGAGAACAGAACAAGGAGAAAAACCATTAATACCTAACTTCGAAACCATTCGTGGTACTCCTTTTTCGTTACTTCTTCGAGAACTGCGCAATCAGGTTTAAACCTTCGCGACTATCAAACCTACGAGACTACGATATTTTGACGTTCAAAGAACCACGCGTAAAAAATAAATTACACGAAGATGTGAACACGTTTCGTGATCTCTTCCATCGACCTGTTCCACGTCATCAGAAGCAGAAGATAAATTTATTCCGCCCGATTTTTGGATAGGGACCAACATGTTAAGCTAGGATAAACGGTCGAAGTGCAAGTAGAAAACCTGTTCTCGTGGTTCTGCACTTACCTAACACTGGGTAAGAATGTCGGGAAGTTGCCTTGACCATCCAAGACTTTGCACCTCATCGACACATAGAGGTTTTCTTCTATGCGTTCTGTCACGATTCTCACGAAAGACCACAGTGGTTTTCGCCGACTCGAGTCCTCCTTACGATTTAATAATTATCCACTTTTTTGTAGCGATTTGACGAACAACAGATATTCAAACGTCAATACGGAGTCCTCACGAAGACTGCATGTTCCTTGGCTATTCCGTGGCTTCTTACATAGCCCGTGCGTGTCCCCTTCTTCGCGTATTGAGCATCGATATCGAGTGGGGATCGATCTCGATTCTTCCCAGCCACGAATGATAGAATTTTTAATAGATCGGTCTCTATGTTGCTTGTTGAAATAATGCTTCTGACAAACTCATTAACGGATCGTTAACATACACTGACAAGAATCCGATTATCATTCGTACAGGAAAATTAGTTACACAAATCATCCTGAATTATACATCAAACGTGTATTAAAAGCAGTATATTTATATGATTATATATTTCATATTATAAGAAGAGATAAGGATAATATTTTATATGATGTAAGTGTAAAATTTTGGACGACACGACCATAATTTATTCGAGTCGTGTCTGTATTAGAATTGTTACCATTCGTCCTAGAACAAACTGCACGTTGTTCTTGAACCGAAGAAAAATTTTGGGTAGAGTCCCCTTGGCTGCTGAACTAACTTCAGGGTGAGGAATGGGACGCGTAATGGTCGTAAAGTGCCGCTCGTCGTCTTTGTCATAAATCAACAGAGCATCAATCTTTTTAAGACTAAAATTGAATTCTTACTCAAACTGCCCTTGTAACGTATAGGATATAAATCTAAGCATGGAGTATTCTTATAATTAGATCTATGATTAATTTTAATCGCGTAATTTTATGGTTAAGTCGCCGACAACACCCAGATCAATGATATAAATTATACATTCAGGAAAAAATAACGCGCGTAACTTGCATCTACATACAAACTAGAATCTGATGCAATATCGATCCACGGTGTCATCAGATTGTTGCTTTGAAACCACCAAAACTATTTGACGAAGAATATCGATGAGAAAAAGCTTGTGAAAAGCATTTTACGCGTTTTTGTTTTTATGCGATCTACGATATTTGCCCATATCTTTGACAATATGCAAATGTGAGCTGTAACTAGTGGACATCTCTGGTAGCCAGCCACTTGGAAGAGGAATCGTTGACGTGATCTTAAAAATAATTTTCGATCGCGTCCTGTTTTAATAATGTCGACAAATTTAACGACGATAAAGTTTATATTTAAAAAAGAACATTATTTACAATAAAATAAAATATACAATCTATAAGATATAAATAAAATCTTGTTTCTGTATATAGAGTCCTATTTCCTGTATATAAAATACTACATAAATTTATTAGAATATTCTTATTTTACAATTGCTTTAGGGATATGTACCTATCTAGCTTTCACCATATTATTTTGCTTTTCTGGAGTTAGATTAATCAAATGGTTTGAATTCTCTGCTAATTCAGTAATGCTGATTCTACCACGTTGTTTAATAAACTTTGCAACAGCTTCAAGTTCCTTTTGAGAAATGTAAATAAATTTTCCTCTGTCATCAATAACTCCAGACAAATTTCCATTTGCTTGCAGCTCCTGAATTCTTTCTATCGCGCTTGATGTCTTTAAACCAAAGTGGGCAGCTAAATCCTCAAGAATCACCACTTTATTTCCTTTAATATAGTCAAGAAATGCCTCTAACAAATTTTCTTCATCCTCTCTATATTCCTGATCAAAGCCCTCTCCCTCTACACTAAATGCTTCTTTCATTTTCAAATATTCCTCGTGTTCTTTTCTTTCTTTTTCCTCTCTAGCTTTTCTTTCTGCCTCTTCTTGTCTTAATTCCTCTATGCGTTCCTTTTCATATTGCTTGTCTCTTTCCTCCTGGAGAAGTTGTTCCCTCTTTTTACGCTCTTCTCTTTCTCTGTCAGCAATTTCCCTTTGTGCTTTCTTCTCTGATTTGGCTACTAATTTTGCCCTCTTCTTTGCACCCATTCTGAAATCAGGTGTAGGTGATTTCTCATTAGTCTCTTCATTTTCTTCGTCCCCAGATCCATGGTCATTTTCTTCGACTTGTTGACTAGTGGTCGCTTGCATACGACGTCTAGTATTTCTTTGACCCGCTGCTCGCCTTATAGGTTTACTCTGTGCAACTTTTTCGCCTATATTCGTTTTCCGCGTAGCTACAACACATTAAAAAGGACGAACATTTGATGCTTTTTCTAAATCAAATAACCTAAAGGCTTGAGTAATTAATTTAAATACATATTTTTGTTAAATGATTTGATTCAATATTTATCAGAACCATCAAAACATCTGTTTCATAACAAACTTAAAGGTTAGGAATGTATTTGGTTATAACGAAAAGAACATTTTAGTAATATCATGAAAATGTTGTATACAGGTAAAAACGTACCGGACTTTTGTCTTAGAAACAGAGTACAAACGATAATCAATACAATAATCAAAACAGCGAGAGAAGTTAATAATATAACGTCCATTTTTTGTTTGTTTTTTTTTTTCTACACCTCTTCAGTTTTCGATTATCGAGAAAGCAAATATCGATAACGCTCAGTAGCGCCGCGTTCGTGACTGTCGCTGATTGTTTTCGAAGGTGACGTGTGCTCTGCTTAATTTCACTTAGAATTTCACTTGTAACTTAAGTTTTACCGTGCTATATAAAGCACTGACTGTCAAAAATCATGTTAAAATACGGCGGTGTATTTCTTGTGTTATTGTGTGTTCTTGAATGTGGTACAGGACTTTATTTTCACATCGCTGAAACCGAACGAAAATGTTTCATCGATGAAATCCCAGATGAAACAACTGTTTTAGGTTCGTGAAATATATATGACAGTAGAAGTTGATTATACATTTGTACTATAAATTTCACGTATTGTTTTCATGTTTAGTAAATTACAAAGTCGAATTATATGATCCAAGAACCGGTGGATTCGCCCAGACCAGGCCTGGAATGGGTATGCACGTGGAAGTTCGGGATCCAGATGATAAAATGATTCTTTCCAGAGTGTATAGTTCAGAAGGAAGATTTTCTTTTACTTCCCACACTCCCGGTGAACATGTAATTTGTTTGTATTCTAACAGTAGTTCTTGGTTCAGTGGTACCCAATTGGTAAGAATTCTTATGATGCCAAACAATGTTTTTTTGTAGTGTTTAATATTAACTAACTTCTTTTTATTATGCAGAGAGTACATTTGGACATTCATGTTTCTGATCATAGTATTGATTATTCAAATACAGCACACAAGGAAAAGTTTACTCAGTTACAGTTGAGGCTACGCCAACTTCTTGATCAAGTGGAACAAATAACAAAGGAACAAAATTACCAGAGGGTAATTAACTTGTGTACCTCTTGACTGTTTTACAAAAGATTTAGATTTTAATTTTATGTTGTTTGTTCACAGTATCGTGAAGAACGTTTCAGGCAAACATCTGAAAGTACAAATCGCCGTGTGTTTTGGTGGTCACTCGCTCAGTCTGTAATTTTATTGTTCATGGGTGCATGGCAAATGAGACATTTGAAGAGTTTCTTTGAAGCAAAGAAACTAGTTTAAGAGCAAAATTAATAATTCCATTAATATTAGTCATTTTAAAACGATTAATTGCCTTTGTCATTATAAGAAATTCTCATTATAATTCATTTAATAAAAAAGCAGAAGAAATAGATGTAAACATGAAATTCAATCATTTGTGTTTATCATACATAATCATCAATTTGAGTATGTTCACAATTAGTAATTAATGTATTGTAAGAAACTGGTTTTTTAATGTAATAAAAAATAATGTACACACTGGATTTTCATTGAAATAGAAAATTAACTTTCAAAAAAATCTCTTGGCTATAAAATTTTCCTTCCCCAGCTACAATTTATACAATTTATATATACAAATATGCCTTAATGCAACATGCAGGGTATCAAAATGTGTCCAAATGAAACAAAACATACATGTGAACTTGCCTTTCATTGTAGTCGGATCCATATCGTGTGAACAACTACGTGAAGTAAGAAAAATAGTATATAAATAAATAGGTACATGTAATGAAAAAATAACAGTGATATCATCGTACTTTAAAAATGTTTATTTATTAATAACATTTTCAGTGGTTATAAAAAATACTGTATTATAACAAAATTCAATAAAAGGATAAAAACATTATGATTTCGTTTCGACAAATATTTCGATGCAGTTCGCGTCTAGTTTTTGCAAAAGAACTAAAAAATTTACATCAGGTGCCATTGATTCGAAGAGAAAGGCTATGCTCTAATTTATATGATCAAATTTTTATTCGAACGAAGACGGATCTCTGCGAATTACCGCAAAATGATAAAGAAGAAGGTGCCAAGAAAAAAGTACTTGGTAAGCTTGAAAAGAAATTGAAAGTGATGTTTACTTGCAAGAAGTGTAATTATCGAAATGGAAAAGTTATATCTCAACTGGCATACGAGAAAGGTGTAGTTATAATTCGTTGTAACGGTTGCAAAAATAATCACTTAATCGCTGATAATCTTGGATGGTTCGAGGAATTAAAAAACAAAAGAAATATTGAGAAAATATTGGCGGCAAAAGGAGAGACCGTACGAAAGGTACAAAATGATATCGATGGATATATTGAAATTGTTGCCAAAGCGGAATTTGAGTTAGTGGAACATAATAAGGAAAGGGAACAACGAATAATTGAAGAACAAAATAAAGTACAAGATCAATCTAAAAAAATTAAATCTTCGGAGGAATCGTAGGAGGAATCACTGTTAAAGGAAGGGTTTTATTTTCGATGAAATAAAGATAAGAAAGATATTCAAACGAATGTAAATACTTTTAAATTTATTTGTAGACTATGTGTGCTTTTTATACTATGTTAAACTTATAATTATATATGCAAAAAAAAATAATATCCAAAGTTTGGTTGATACAGAAAGACTTAAATGTGTTTTTTGATCCTTCAAATTACAATCACTAGAAGAAACAGTATTGTTTCTTTTGTGTTTACGTATGTAAATACTACGTGTAAATAATACTTCTAATATATACAATTTGGTAGAAAATATATATCCTTGAATAAAGTTTCTCAGATCTTACATAAATTCTAGAAGACTTGCCTCTTTATTCGATGTATGAAATGTCTGCGTAATTTTCTTAAGAAAACAAGTTGCATACTATAAATGTAATATCAACAACAGTTAATTTCATGTATAAAAATGACAAATCTTGGCACATGTAGAAATGATATGGCAAGTTTTTAACTGAGAATGCATTGAATATTTGTGTGTATGTATATCAAATATGTACATATACATAATACATTTTTTCATAAAAATGTCTTTTTTTTTTTAAACAGTAAGATATATGGAACATAATTATATCTTTTATAAATGTGTATATATAATACATATGTATATATATAAAATATATAGTATTAAAAACAAAAGGAATGACTTATTGCTGTTTCCTTATCATGCATATGTAACTTCTAGATCTTGAAAAATTTCCATTATAAACTTCAAATATCTTTGAAGGCACAATACCTGTTAAACTTGTTAACAATAACGATATCATAATAAATGACTATGAATAGTTAATTATGATAATAATATGAAAAATTTCTAAGTACACCAGATTTTAGAATGACTGATAAATTTAGTTTTCCAATTTATCTTGATTTTATTGTAACATATTTTTTGATATAAGGCACTATATTTCTTCATTATAATCAGTCATTTTGATACCTTTAAAATACTTCTATTGAACCTTTTCAAAATTATCTAATCAATAAACTAACATCTAATATTTATTAAACAATATAACTTTAAAATGATCAGAATATGTAAAATTATTTTGCTCCTAAAAATAATTATTCCTACATAATTGACAGTGATTAAGAAGACTAGTGTTTCTTAAACAAATTTTTTGCACAGAGTGAATGTCATTTCATTTCTGCACTTTTATAATAAAATTATAAAATATTAGCATTTAAATTTTCCATTATTTAGCACAGTAAAAATCGACTTATGCTAGTCATATTGTAGACTAGTATTGTCTTATTATTATTGAGAATTAAGAATCTCTGAAGTAATTAATATGTTTGTGGATTAAATAAAATCACTTTAGATTTTCATACCCTTTTTGGTTTTGACACAATTGCATATTCACTATTATTAAAAACTTTATGCTTTGGGCCCATGCTACTGCTGGTAGAAGCAGACTCGGAGTGATTTGTTTTCTTTCTAATAACACCATATCCAAGGTGACTATCATCTGCTAATCTAACAGCAGACATATCTTCAACGATATCGTAATTAGACCACGCGGCATTGTTATCAGCTACGGAAGTGTTTAAAGAAACATTGGAATGCGAATTTTGTGACGCGTTGCTAAAATTCCCAAATTTATATGCGCTCTTCTGGTTAATTTTAGTCGCAGAACCAAAGTGTTCCAATTTATCGTAATCAGATTCGTCATTGGGTACATGATTAGTGGTCATTGAAGGACTATCTATAACACTAGACTTACTCTTTGATGAGTTTTGCGACGATATCATAGGCATCATCGTTTCGTATTGAAAATCATCCTCATTTTCTTTGTCTTTGTCGCTATGCAATATCGAGTTTGATCTTTCCGTGTGATGTATATTGTCAATACCATGTGTTTTCCATGCATCGTTTCTTACTTCTACTAGGTCATAAGGATGTCTCTCTTCGTCATCTATTAGAGAACTTCCTATTGTTTTCTGAGACATCTCTGGTGAATTATCTCGATTTAGGGCCTTGTACTCCCCACACATAGGTAAGTCTGATAATTCGGGATCTACGTTTTTTTTGTCCAATAAGCCCGCGAAAACATATTTTCGCGGTGGCTTCGCAGGCTTTGGTTTATTAATAGGCAAGGAAGGTTTAGAAGATAAACTAGTATCTAAATTAGAGGAAGAACTCGATTGCTTTTGCGAATTTTGTGGTGAAAAATCAATATCAATTAAATTGGCAGAACTGTTAGGAGAAGGAGGTAGGGCTGCTCTAGATCCAGCTTCCATAGATAAGGCTGCATGATACTGAGCATCATTACATTCAATGCTTGGATTACTTTCTTCGTTCATTAATTTTTTCATCGATCTCATTTTGGAATACATACAGCGAAAAATTTCTTGTTGACTACCATGTTCTAATCGAAAAGAACCTTCTCCAGATTCGCATTTTCTGCCTGCTTCAAAAATGAATTTTCCATCTTTATAGCCATATCTTCTGATATACCGATATGGCCAAGTGAAAAGGATAACATCTCCATCCATTAATTTCATATCAACTGCTGCTACTACAAGCGTATAGTTTCTAGTTTCTAGACCACATCGTTTAGATGCATCTGTTTCTACAACTTTGACAGAGAATACTCCTTCTCCACTGGTGCAGTATAGGTCATTGTTTTCCTCTATTGTTTGATTAGATACACTATCTTTAAATGCTACTAACTGAAATGCAGTAATCCAATGACTCATATCGGATTCAGAATAGCATCCAAAGTAATGAATTCCTGACTTGGTCACAACCTATATATAAAATAAATCACAGAAAAAAATTGATATTTCACATTGTTTGTTAAGTGTTTACTTACTGTAAATACATGTGACTGGTTGCTTGGTGCAATTTTGATACATGCATCCAACGTGATGATACGAGGAGCATGTAATTGCAATATAGCTTCTTCTTGATTATCGTAAATTTCTACACGTTTGATCCCATAGTTACTAGTCCTGAACAGCTGACAGAATCTCTTGTGCCAAGATTTCTGTGACGAATTTAAATGAGATAATTGTTTTTTAATATTTTTATCTTATGAAAGGAAAAAAAATATGGATTTTGTGCATTTCAAAAGTCGCATTAGCATGAATCAAGAATGACGTGTACCAGGTTCAATTTAGCGTCGTTGCACACGCTTGAAATGTCTGGAACATTGTCGCGCGCACTTTATAGGTTATTTTTCGACCACGATCACCGATAACGAACGGTTATTTCAATCAATGTGTTCGTTTATTCGGAAGATAGAAAGAAATAAAATTATAAGAATTATTTATTGCCTAATGGATCGCGAGAATTCGAAATGCACATACATCCGTGCTAACGTTAACCAACCTTGAGTTGGCCTAACATTCCTTGCGGTGGTAACAGCAGGATCCCTTGTATCAGAGGTTCCTCAGGCTCCATCGTTTCTGCGAAACATCAGCAGTCTCACGTATCACTAGGAACGTGCCTTTGTTCCTCTTATAATTTCGGAAAAGTGAATTTTTCCACTTTCACTCCCACTTTTTTCCGTCCGTGCTATTCCTCTCACTGGTTCGCCTCTGCTTTCGAATGGTGCTCTATCGTTTACGATTAGTCTGACAGTTTTCCCGAACACATTCAACCCATCATAATGTACGGTGCTTGACATTTCACAAAAACTTTGAGCCCGACGTTAACGTCGACTAGATTTCCGAGAAGAAAAATTCGTCCGGCTCTATGTGTACGTGTTGCACGGATACGTCGTG